TTATGAGATATGCGTCTTAAATATTTCTTACAATGCTGATCTGAAGAGGTTATCGGCATTAAGTACTGTAATATAATAACTGGTTTAAAGATTTGTTTTACCTTGGTCGTGCCTTAAGTTTTCAGACATTTTCTTTTTTTTTTCTTTTTTTTTTAACGAAAGATTGCGATGTAAGATATTTTATATTGTAAATCTATTACTTCTGTATTGCGCCAGATTTTATGACATATTAATATCACGATCAATGGCTTACAAATTCATTACAAGTAGCGAAAATTTTTTTAGATTCATTCTGATGTCGAATTCTCACATGTCTTAAACATTTACATACGTATATAAGTGTAATTATTACTATATTCTTTGCGAAAAATGATTACATCATTTTTAGCATGTAAAAAATATGTATTTTTTTTTTATACGAAAATTCACATACGTATTAATGATACAATCCGGCAATCAAAAACCTTTCATCTGTTAAAGTATAAATAGGAAGGGGTTTGCAAATTTTTTTTTTTCGAAACTTAACGCACAACAAACTTTAAAAAAAATGCTTGTCGAAGGATCGCCTTTAAATGATCGTGAATATTCAACTGATGAAGGAGTCGTCAAGGATCCGCTTTACGAGGAAGTAGTGGAACATGGAAATGAAGAGTATATACCACCCAAAGGTAATATAAAATTTTTAATTTGTTGATTATTTAATTACAAATATATATAAATCTTTTTTAATTAAAAAAAATTAGAACCTGAAGAACCTGAAGAAGTAACCGCGGATCCAGCAACAAAATCAACTCCTGAGTTACGTTCTTCGACGTATGCAGTACGTGAAGCCAAAGGCCTATATGAAGAGAACGAAAATGAATTTGAGAAAGGTCCTTCTTTAACTGAAGGAGATGTTCCCGATAATGCTGATATCGATTCGTCAAGACAACTGTAAGTTTCGTGTTCGTCGAATTTTTTTTATTTCATTATTTTTTTTATTTACTTCATTATTTTTTTTTATTTATTTCATTATTTTTTTTTAATTCATTATTATTTTTTCTTAATTCATTATTATTTTTTCTTAATTCATTATTATTTTTTCTAATTCATTATTATTGGTTTTTTTTTTTCAAGATCATCTCTCGTGGCAGCATCTCACCGGCAGAGCAGTAGTGTCGAATCGAAAAAGCAAAGTGCAGAAAAAGCTTCAAAGTTGCATGAAGAAATTACTGGAGATCCTTTAGAGATCGGTGAAAGTACGTTTTTTTTTTTACTTCGCGTCCTTGCACGTGTTGTAAATTCCGTTAATTAATCATATTTTCTTTTTATTAATTCATCCGATTATTAATAGAGGGAGAAGTTCTTACTGATACCAGAGTTAGTAGGGGATAATTTGGGCATGTGAATATTAAAATACAAATTTAACTTTGAATTTCATTCTGTTATTGTTCATATTATGATTTCAAGATATTTATGAGATTTTTATGTCATTTGATTTCGCATTTTTTGAAAGCGAATAAATAACAAATGAAACATTGAATCTATTCTGAGTAAACAAATATTGTAACTTGATAAATAATATAGTTATCGTGAATAAAGTCAAATAAAATTTTAAAATATCTCGATTGTATGTATGGACTTTAAAAAAGAAGCATTTATTGTTTATTATGTATTATAGAAAAATAAATGCTACATATTTATGTTATTTTATTATGGAAATAATGTGAATTACTGTATCTTTAATATGAATTATGCTTATAATAAGTGTCGATCGGAAAAATCATTTCGTGCCAATTCTAAGTTTAAAATCTATCTCGAACATATCTATATGTACAAATGGTATTTGTGTTCGAGTAATGATTAGGAAATGAGTAGAAAAAAATATGTATACAACAGAGTTGGCAATTTGCTTCAATGAATAAGCATCCATTGGCTTTTTTGTTTCTTTAGTAAAATTGCTAACCCTGGTATATAGTATGATGGTTGACTTTGGTTAAATTACGATAACATACGTCTTGTCGAACTTCTGATTTACTGACATAAGTTTTACTTGTGTTCCTTGTTCGACGTTGTTCCATGGAGTTGGGTTATTTTTTCTGATGAAATATAAAATGATTAATATTATAGAATATGATGGACTTAAATATGAATTTAAATAATATAAATATAATATATACTTGTCCCACACAACATCAGGTCCTCTAGCAAGACGAGTAAGGTACCAACTACCACCTACGACTGCAAAGCCCTATTATTAAATAAATTGGCAAATCAATATGTAAATAAAATGTCAAAGCGTCTCAAATTATTATTAAAAAGTACGTACGGTTACAACGTAGATAGGAAGAATTTCGAGTCGGTACCAATTTCTCATAAAACCTCTTGAAGCACTAGCGGCAACCATTTTTAAATATAGAAGATTTGATTAATATGAGGAGTTATAGAGAAAGTGATAGCTTGAATAAATGCAAAGAGGTTTAAAACAATATACAGGCTATTCGATGATTTGGGGTTCCACTTAAATAATTAATGACAAGTTATATATACATTGTGATGTTCTACAAATCCGGATGAATCCGCCGTTTCACGCCTTTTTTTTTGACGTAATGAAAATTGACAGGTTGTTTTTGGTTATTCGAAATGAATGCAACCTGTTTGACACAAATAAGGACAAATAAAGGTAAAAAGACTTCCATATGTCTACAATGAATAAATGAATCGGGATGATCTATTAAAGCGAATAAGGAAATGATTAACATCTTATCACCGTTGATTTACCAATCTCATCAGAATATACTACCCGAATTTTCGATTCGGAACAATCCTCATGGCTTTTCTTTCATGCTAATGCAGTATTTACTGATGATGCTGATTATTGATATGCAAAGAATAAAGGAAATTCTATTTTTTTTTCAATAATGATTCTTATGTGTTACTACCGCTTGTCACTGCATAGTGTATCCCCCGAAAATAATATTTTATGTACCATATAAAGTACAAAGTACTCCCCCTCTCCATCAATGAGATCGCTGGATTCGTGAATAGTACTCGGTACTATTCAATTTTAAAACGCAAACGGGCATCGTTACTCGAATATTTGTACTGTTTATAGAACTAAGTTTCAGAAATCAAATTTTGTTACCGTACGTACGTACGTACGTATAGTAAAATTATATTTCCTTCCGCTATTTACTCGATGAAGATATATACTGTAACATAGCTTTTAAACTTTGCACTCAACTGTTTAGATGAATTAATTTGTAATTAAACGATTGGCATCGACGATGATTATGATAATGATAATAGTGTGCTTCATATTAATGATGGGCGAATACTTGTTGATTAATTTGAATTAACAGCAATCACTTACAAAAATTAATAACAAAAATGTTGATTAATTTGAATTAACAGCAATCACTTACGAAAATTAATAACAAAAATTATCATTATAATAATTTATCTTATATTTGCGTCAGTGATGACGATTCTTTTACATACTGTGCGTATGGTTATCTAGTAACTATGTAAATAGAATTATAATAATTTATTCGCAAAAAAATATATGTGCGTACGTACGTACGTACAATAATATAAAGTAAAATAGTATCCATCACTACTTCATCTGTCAATCAGAACGATGCCACAGAAAACCAGGTTCTATCCGGTTCTGAACACATAGTAGTGTTTGTGGCCGATCTAAATTAGTCGATTCGTCTAAGCCGAAAATTAAAAGCTGGCTATGCAAAATCAATTACATGTAGTATATGTAAAAAAACATTTCGAACTTTTTCGTTACTACGTATTGTAAAAGTTGTCTGATTTAGTAATATATACAATATTTATAAAAAGTTAAATGAAATTTTTAAAAATTTTGAAGTATATTATTTTAGCTTTTTTTTTATAGTTAGCTTATAATTTGATAATTAAAATATATAAGTAGATTTTAGTAGATTATACAGAGCTTTTATTTCTAATTTTAAGCTTTAGCTAATTATACTATATTATATCTAATTTTAAAATTTCAATACTATAATAAATTGTTAAGCTTAATATATAGGTCTGATATGAGTGCTGCAGAGCGAAAAGCTGGAAGTAAATATTTTAAGTTT